GAGCTTGAAATGGAAAATCACCTCCACAAGCCTCACAGGCAAGATTAATTATCGTAACCGCCTGAAAACGAAGGCTGAGTCCTAACCCCTTTCAAAACAGTGTGACTTTAGAAGCTCTGCCACCCTTACCCACAGCCCATGACCTTTGGAGACTGCCTGCTGAAAGGGCATTTCTCAACTGTTGCCCTCCAAGTCTGAAACAGAAGATAGGGCCCTTTGCCACTCTTCTGATTTGCGTGGACTTGAAAGACCCAATCTCTTACCCAATCTACAAAGGTTATTTAATAAAATTCTCCTCTTATCACTACGCCCACTGCCTCACCTCCCAGTTACTACTCAAGCCATCCCCACCATTCCACAGGGACCACATAGCATTGAGTACCAGCAACCCATAGTCAGATTCAATCTTCCCTTTTTGGTCCTCATCTTATTTGAGTTTCTTTGGCCGAAGGACACTACAACCACCCCTTTTATCCTTCAAAGTCTTTTCTCACCTTCCTCATACTCTGTACAGTCCATCTCTCTTACTCTAGCATTACTTGCATGTTTCCTTTGTGGACGCCCCCAATTCTGCCACAGTTAATGTTGGTAAAACCCATTTTACCCTTTATCCCCTCTGTTCTCACTCCTTGGACGATTGCATCCTATAAAGCAGTTTCAACCATGTCTTTTGTCCAAGTGATTTCCATATCAATACAGACCAGGCCCCTGAGCGACACGGCCTGATACCCAACTCCCTACTGGTCAACTCTACTTGAAGTCAACCTCTCCAGAACCAAGCTCCTCATCTGCTCTTCAAGCCAGGATCTTTCATTTCCTCATCCTCCACATCCACTTACCGTCAATTCTGACCTTGCACCAGCATGCCCTCTTTGCCATCTTCACTGCTCCTCCTCAAGGAGGTCTGTCCTCCTTTACCTGGATTACTGCAACTGTTCCTAGCAGATCTCACCTCTGTCTCCTCCCTGACTGAGATGGATTCTACACCATTGCCAAACTTAAGCGTATTTTGCTGCTCCTGATATTTCCATTATCCCGTTGCTCCCCAACATCTATCAGGTGAACACCAGCTTCTCAGCATACACACAGCTCCCCAGGATCAAGCTTTTCCCGCTTACCTCACAAACTCATCTCTCACTAAGCTCTCCATGCTGTATCCCAGCTACACCCTGTTATAAGACAACAGTTTTATCTCTCTGCCCTTTCTCGAGCTGTGTTCTACACCGGATGTCCTCCTGGCCCACAGGTACACCTGACCTTTGTCTGCTTGGCATATTCCTTATCTTTCAGGTCCCACTCACTTCCTCTATAGGGCCTTTTCTGACCTTTCTCACTGCATAGGACCTCCCCTTTCTTCTCTCATGGCCCCAAGTCACTTCATTGCAATTGTTGACATTTCTGTCTCATCCTTACCCAATTAAATTTTTTTTTTAATTTGTAATTTCACATCACCCAACATGTCACCTGGCACATTCAATAAATGTCTGTGGAATAAAAACTGCTGGCACAAAGGCATCTTTCTCAAGATTCGGAGACTGGTAGAAAATCGTATTATGTAGGATTTCAGAGCTGTGAACTAAGAATCAAGCTATTTTGTGATTTAATTTTCCAAATTTAAATAATGCATACATAATCCACTTAGTTCTGTTCTTTTTACTCTCATGCACTCTATCTTCTAATACCTTACTCCACCTCTGAATCATCTGTTGGCCTTTATCATTTTTTTCCTCTGGCACTCCCATTAAGTCCTATTATTCAATGAGTCAAAAATTCCAGTCCATTCCATTCTTGGATAAGTCTATCCTCTGAGCCTCTGAAATCTCCCCGTAGACCTTTCCTGAACTATCAGGATCCAGGCCTACTAACTCAGCAATAATCAACTCTAACATTTACATAGATTGTTTTCCTTTAATGTATATTAATCTCATCAATTTTTATTTCTATCCTTTTACAAGTAAAACACTGGTGCCAAGAAACCCAGAGGATGCTTATCCTTCCTAAGTTTCCCCACGCATAAGCCTGAGAAATTAATTCTGCACTTTCTGACATCTAGTCTTCGTACTTTTTTCCCTTCAACACCACCAACCAAAGTCACATCCTCTTGTCCTTCCTCTCTGACACACTGACTTTACTTTTTTTTTCTGTCTCCCCAACTACAGCCTTCCTGTTTGTGCTTGTGCTGATCTGATCACCAGCTGAACATTCATTCCAAAAGTTCTCACTTTCTCCCCTCTTCAGCTCCATAATCCAATGACTTGACAAAGGAAGCCATACTTCATGAGTTTCACCCAAGAGTCCCAGTATCTACAAAAACCTAAGTGAAACTTTACCCATAACTCAATTGTCTTTTTGAAGGTTTTTTTTCTGAACTCCAGTGATTGTAACTTGATTAGTCCCAGACCAATTTTCTGTTTCTTTTTCCTTCCCCTGCTTTCTTCTAAGGAGCAAGCAAGGAAAATTGAAGTTTACATAATGTAATCATGTCTACTTTTATAAAAATACTGGTCGATAAGGGTGAAACTCAAACTACTAGGGAGGTGGGGGGAGGAGGTTAGAATCACAGACTTTTCCATCCTTTTCAATATTGTCTCCTATTATTAAGAGGCTGGCCTTAGTTTCCAGCTGCTGACACTCACTGTACTCTCTCACTCTGCTCCGCAGTACACAGCTCTGTTCTGGGGTATGGCATTCACTTCCTTTTCTTTTACTCAATCATGGACAGGGATAAACAGGTAAGAGTGAACACAAAATAATTATTTTATATCTTTGTCCACAAGAGTTGGCCTAGAATTCCACAGCTCCACCTCAAAGGACAACAGACCCTTACCCTCAGAGCCTGGAAAATACCTGCTCCTCTCCCTTTCCTCTTCAAAACAATGTCTTAGAGAAACAGCGATCAATTCTAGAAAACTGTCTCAGCTAGTTAGACCAGATGCGCTGAAGCAGATTCAGCCCCTGTGAGACTGCTTGGCCTCTCCTATTTCCAGAGGAGCCTCTAACTTTCAGTCAGTCATCATACAAGTGTTGTCAGTCATCAGGAAGACTATCAACGCATCCGTGCATCACCATTTCTAAAAAGACAACCAGCCACAGGCAAGCTCAATACGATCCCTCCACAGGAGTCATGCATTCCCACTTTTGGGGGGCAAATTCAAAGGAGACCTCAAGGAACTGAATCACATGCAATTTCTAAAGTCGGAGCAACAAACGAGCTGGGATTAATTGAAGAGAGTGTTCCTGAACTTTGTCATCTTCCTCCTTCTCGTGTCACTATTTCTTTGTTAGGCTGCAGACTCTTACTCTGTTCCTCCTAGGTGTACATGCCTGGTGCGTGTGATCGTCCAAATGATCAGTTTAGTCATAGTGACCAAAAATCATCAGTCCACTGGCCCCAAATCTCACCCTGGCATTTCAAGTAGATCCTTCACTACTAAGAATTAGGGTGACAAAAACCTCAAGATGTTTCATTCCATTTCAGAAGAAGTATGGTGTGCCCATTGAGGCTGGGGTCTGGAAGCAAAGCTTTACATTTGTCAGGTTAGAACAGTTCAATCTGAGGATGTCCAAGAAGCAGCTTTCTGTGGAAAACTGGAAGAATGGATCATTCCCAGGTGAAAGGTAAAGTTGGAGAACACAGATTAAACTACTAATTACATTGATCAACTCCGAAGTTAAACACAGCTGTTTCTTGAGAGCTTGCCCTCATTTCCCCCATTGCAACACTCCCATGCACTCCCACACATGCCTTTGATCTGTTTCTCTCTCATTTCAGTCTGTCCTGGGACTTGTACTATGAGAGAAGAAGATGAAAATCCAAGGATGATGGATGATATCCAGAACGCAGATAATCTATAATTCAAGCCTGGGTGAAATTCAAAAGTTACAGCATCACACACAAAGGAACAGGGTCTGGCCTTTCTTCCCAGAGGGGCTATTGGCTAACCTATTTTTGCTACAAAAATTAAAATGACCCATCACCCTGATTCCTAGCAATCTCCCTAAAAACAGTATCTACTCCCCATATCCTGCCGAACATAATCACTCAAAGTAGGTCAGAAATGTTGCTTCCTTCCCCTCATTGATTTTCGTTAAGAGGCTGCACTTTCTGGAAGACTAAAAGGAAAGATAAACACCCACTACAAGAACCAATGACACCCCCTGTAAATTTTTGGCACCTTAAGTCCAGTTCTCCTAAAAGCGGGAGAAAATCTCATCACCCACAATTTCTTCCTTTTGGCTAGAAGTCAACAATAATCTCGAAGTACAAAATAAACAGTGGCGATGCTTCAGCCAGATGAACACCCCCCAAAAGGAGCACATTCACTCTGTCTTTTCTAATTTTCTAGATCACCAACCTGCCTCTTCCCTAAGTACACACTCCTTTATTCTAATTCATATCCGTATTTTGCCAGAAGGATGCCAAGTGATACCACACAGTGGCTCAGCAAGTCCCCAGGGCCTTATCAGGAAGCTGAGTACGGGCGAGTGGGAGAACGGGGTTTGTAGAGACCCCTACAGGGTCTAGGGGAAGAGAAGGCGACGGAGAAACGGGGAGGAGGGACATGGGGGTGGGGGAAGCGGGAAACCCTCCTGTGGCAACATCTGGCTCTCCAGAAGAGCTGTGAAGGGATGGGTCTCCAAATGCCACTAGCTGGGCTTCCCCAGTCTCCCCGCCACCCCACTTGCTGAAATCTCTGCCAAGGCCCAAGTCCTCAAGCCTGGCACTCTGAAGAGGGCGCCGCAAAGTCCTTCAGAGCCCTCAAAGCGGGAGCGCGAACAGAAAAGCAGCCCCCAAAAGACAGCAAAGCCACACACCCTCTGTCGGCCAGCCTCCCGGGGCGGGCAACTTCATCCCCGCAACACACGAAAGCCCCCGTCCTCCAAGGAAGGCACAAGGCGACGGCAGGGAGGGACACCCGGGCACCCGCCTCGCCCCTCGCCTCCCGCTCCGTCCTCCCCCTCCCCCGCAAACTCCAGGTAAAGGACCAGGTGCGGCTCACCTCCAGGCAAGGAGGAAGCGGGCGGCCGGAGGAGGAGGGGGGCAGGTCCCCAGCCCAGGCCGCCCGGCAGCCGGCGAGCGCCCAGCAGCAAATCCAGGCGGGGCTCCAGGGCGGCGAGAGCCCGCAGCGGGGAGCCCCCGCCCGCCGCCCCCGGCCCCTCCCCCGCGCCGGACCCGGGGCGAGGAGCCGCATCTCGGTCCCGCGGCGGTCCGCCAGCCAGCAGGAAGGCAGCCTCCCCGGGTGCGGCGCGCTCGGCTCGCCGCTCGCTCGCCCCCTGCCCGTCCGCCCGCTGACGGCTCGGCTGCGCTCAGGGCCGGGCAGCCGGCGCCGGTGCTCCCGTCACGCCGGAGGGAGGGACCGCGGGGCGCGGGCGCGGGCGCGGCGCGGGGGCGGGACGCGGGGCGGGGACGCAGGAGCCCGGGCGCAGGTGGCGCGGGCGGGGGCTGCGGCCCGGCCCAGCGGGTCCAGAGGGGATGCGCCGCCGCCGGGCCCGAGGCTCGCCGCGCAGGGGAGGGCGAGAGACGCCGCGGTCCCCCGTGGTATCCCCGGTCCCCGTGGCCCGCCAGGAGGGGCGCTCCAGGCGTGAAGCCAGAGTAAAACACAGGACATCAGGATATTGTTTACCCCGCGGCGGGTCTTTAAAATCTCCCTGCTTCCAGCATCACACACACTCACAGACGCGCCCTAGGGACGGCCCTTGGTGAGGATCCAAGCTAGCTAGCGTCAGAGCGAATTTTGGGGTCATCAGGATCTGCCTAAAATTGCAGGGAGGAAAGGAGAGCGAAATATTGATGCAGCTGGTGACTCAGTTTCCTCACTTCTTTAACGCAGATAGTAACAACATCTACCCTATAGGGTTGTTAGGAGGGTTAAGTGAATTGATGCACCATAAAGCACCTGGGGGAGTGCCTGGCAAGCAGTAGATAGCGATAGGTGTTGGTAGTAGTAGTAAGCCCAAGTACTGCTACTATTGGTGTCATTTCATGGGGAAAAACGTGTAATCTTGGGCAAGAAAGCCCTTTTGTTTCTGGAGGAAGCAGTTTTTCTATACGTACAGTGAACTGGGGTAGTCTTCGTATTTTCTTTCATTGTAAATATACTGAACTGGGTAATGGGCACCAACTGGTGAACCAAATGGGCACAGTGCCTTCCTGTTGTGGGGATCGCAAAGGTCCCTTCTTGCTCTATAATTCTGTGATGATGTAAATTCTCCCGTTGTTCAAAAGAAGTGCCGAAGTTTCTGATACTTGATTACCTGCAGAAAGGTACCTGGCAGACTCATAAATTGACCTGAATTTATCTTTGTCTCTATCTTTAATATTTTTTAATAAACATTTCCACATGGAATGTGGAAGTTTCCCTCTCTCACCCTCTCTCTCATTCTGATTATTATTATAATGTATGTTTATTGTAAAAATCTGGAAAAATTCTTAAAAGTATTAGGAAGAATGTAAAAATTACTAGGGATCCCACCAATAAGACATAACACCATTAATGGTATTGGCATCTTGAAGAATTTCCTTCATGGTCTTTTAACCGCTTGTGTACTTTGAAACTAGAATTGTAATTTTTAACCTGCTTCTCTTCTTCCCTTAACAACACGAATGTTTTCTCAAGTCAGTGAAGTCTCTGACAAAACAGCTTTAATAATTGTCTAACAACATCTACACTTTGGAGATACATAATTTACTATTGGATATTGGGCATTTTTTCCTCAGGTATTTGATGTTATGAATAGTTCTGGAATGATTGCCTTTGGTATATAATCTGTTCACACTTCTACTTTTAATTTTCTATGATGCTTTTCTAGAATTGAAATCATTGGGTAGCAATGTATGTGTATTTTTAGGTTTTGTTTAATAGTGCACAAATTCCCTCCAACAATTTTATATCAATTGTTTCCAGCTGTTTGAGTATTTAACATCATTCTAGATTTAATGATACTTTAGATACTTACCATTTTGGCAAATGGTAAAATTAGAATTTTAGCAAAATGCTAATAAGATAGCATTTCTAAATGTATTTTTATAATTTGTGTCATTGAATAATTTTTCTTTATATATTATTATATATGTTTATATATGACATATGATTATATATTTCCTTCTCTTGTCAGGAAATATAAATTCTTGTGTGAATTTTCCACTGACACTTCGGCTATTTTCCTATTAAAGCTCCATCTTTTTTTTTTTTAAGATTTTATTTATTTATTTGACAGACAGAGATCACAAGTACACAAAGAGGCAGGCAGAGAGAGAGGAGGAAGCAGGCTCCCTGCTGAGCAGAGAGCCCAATGTGGGGCTTGATCCCAGGACCCCAGGATCATGACCTGAACCAAAGGCAGAGGCTTTAACCCACTGAGCCACCCAGGCACCCCAAGCCCCATCTTTTTCTATTACTTTGTAAGCAATCTTTTAAGTTTTCTGTACTACACATTGTTTACCATATCTGTCACAAATACATTTCTGAGTTTGTAGTCTTTTAATTTTGTTTCAGGAGGACTTTTTTGCAAAAGATTGTCATTTTTATGTACTCAAATATAAAATTTCCTTTTGGGATTTCTTCCTTTATTTATCCTTAGAGACACCTGTGCATCTATAGATCCTATAAATACCTATAATTTCTTATTTAGTCATTTTCTTTTTGTATATTTTTATTCTTTAATGCATCCAAAATGTATGAGTCAGATTATATTTTTTCATCTGAGCAAGACTTAACAACATGGCTAATGGTTAGTTTCTTTCCTTGTAAAAATAAGGATTGTCCTATACAATGCACATAAATTAAATGACAATTACAGATTTTCTCGTCATTGTCAATAAATAACTTTTTCACTAACAACAAAGTCACAGAAAGAGAAATTCAAAAGAAATTTTTAAAATAATACCATTTAAGGGGCACCAAGGTGGCTCAGAACACCTAGGACAGTTCAGGGTCTGACTTTTGATTTTGGGTCAGGTCATTATCTCTGACTTCTGAGATGGAGACCCACTTTGGGGCTCAGCCACTCAGCACAAAGTTGGCTTGAGATTCTCTCTCTCTCTCTCTTCTCCTTACCCCGCTTGCCTGTGCACTCTTTCTTTCTCTCTCTCTCTCTCTCAAATAAATAAATAAATAAAATATTTTTAAGAAATAAAATAAATAATACCATTTATTATTGGACCAAAAAGAAGAAAACACTGAGGAATAAACTTAACCAACAGAGTGAAAGACCTGTACTCTGAAAACTTAAAACACTGATGAGGGAAATTGAAAATGACACAAACAAATGGAAAGATATCCCATGCTCATGGATTGGAAGAATTAATACTGTCAAAATGTCCATATACACAAAGTAATCTACAGATTCAATGCAATACCTATCAAAACAACAAATAGCATTAAAATTTATATGGAATCAGAGAAGACCTCAAATAGCCAAAGCAATTCTGAGGAAGAAGAACGGAAGTGGAGGTATCACAATTCCAGATCTCAAGATACACTATAAAGCTGTAGTAGTCAAAACAGTATGGTAACTGGCACAAAAACAAACACAAAGATCAATGGATCAGAATAGAGATCTTAGAAGTAAATCCACATTTGTGTGGCCAATTAATCTATGATAAAGGAGGCAAGAATATACAATGGGGAAAAGTGTCTTTTCAATAAATGATGCTGGGAAAAGTGGACAGCTTCATGCAAAAGAATGAAACTGAACTACTCTCTAATACCATATTCAAAAATAAACTCCCAACTGGATTAAAGACCTAAATGTGAGATCTGAAACCATAAAAGTCCTATAAGAGACCATAAGCAGTAGCTTCTCTGACATTAGCCATAGCAACATTTTTCTAGATACCTCTCCTAAGACATGGAAACAAAAGCAAACATAAACTTTCACACAGCACAGTAAATTGAAAACTTTTGCATAGCAAAGAAAACCAGTAAGAAAGCAAAAAGATAACATGCTGAATGGGAGAAGATATTTGCAAACAATACATCTGATAAGGGGTTAACACCCAAATACATAAAGAACTTCTACAACTCACACCAAAACAAACAACCCGATTAAAAAATGGGCAGAAAACCTGAGTAGACATTTTTCCATAGAAGACATACAGATGGCCAACAGACAAATGAAAACATGTTCATCATCACTCATCAGGAGGGAAATGCAAATCAAAACCACAATGAGATTTCACCTCACACCTGTTAGATTGGCTGAAATCAAGAAGACAAGAAACAAAAGCACTGATGAGGATGTAGAGAAAACACTTGTGCACTATTGATGGGAATGTAAATTGGTACAACCACCGTGGAAAACAGTATAGAGGTTCCTCAAAAAGTTAAATGTAGAACTACTATCTGATCCAGTAATTCCACTACTGGGTATTCACCCAAAGAATATAAAAACACAAATTTAAAAAGATATATGCACCCTTATGTTTATTGCAGCATTATTTACAATAGCCAAGACATGGATATAACCTAAGTGTCCATCAGTAGACAAATAGATTTAAAAAAAAAAAAAAAGGTGTGATATATATATATTTTTTTTCCACATCCTTTTTTTAAATCTCTTTGTAATATTATGGAATATTACATAGCCATAAAAATGATATCATGCCATTTGAGACAACATGGATGGACCTAGGGAAGATTATGCTACGTAAATTAAGTCAGACTGAGAAAGACAAACACCATACGATTCCACTCATAAATGGAATCTAAAAAAAAAAAAAGAAGGGCACCTGGGTGGCTCAGTTGGTTAAGTGTCTGCCTTCAGCTCAGGTCATGATCCCAGGGTCCTGGGATCCAGCCCTGCATCAGGTTCCCTGATCAGCGGAGAGCTGCTTCTCTCTCCCTCTGCCTGGGTTCTCCCTGCTTGTGCTCTCTCTGTGTCAAATAAATAAATAAAATCTTAAAAAATAAATAAAAATAAATTTTATAAAAAATGAATAAACAAACCAAGAGCAGAAGCAGAACTATAAATAATACAAAACAAATTGATGGTTGCCAGAAGGGAGGTGGTGGGCGGTTGGACAAATGGGAGAAGGGGAGAGGGAGATACAGGCCTTTGATTATGGAATAAGTAAGTCACAGGAATAAAAAGCAGAACATAAGGAATACAGTTGATGATATTTTATGAGCGATGTAATTGGACAGATGGTAGCTACAGTGGTGGTGAGCATAGCATAATGTGTAAACTTGTCAAATCACTAAGTTGTACACCTGAAACTAATGTAACATGGTAGGTCAACTATACTCACAAATATTAATAATCATCATTTTCTCATAGCAGTTTTACTTATAGAAAAGATCTTGACCTTAGGTGATTAAAAGCA